GCGGTGAGGTGACAGCACAGGGCGCGGCGTCGCGTCGTGCACTCTTCTAGGTCGTCCTGCCTCTCGCCCCGCTCCTCTCCCCCGCCGCCGAGAGGCGCCCCGGCCCACGGCCCGGCCGCAGGAATACGGACCAGATACGGTGACTGAATACCGGCCCCCCTGCACCGCGCCCGCTCCCCCCGCTGGCCCTGCGCGCGCCCCCCACCACCATTTTTCGTTCCTCCGCCTCCACACCGTCCACCTCGCCGTGCTTACCGTTCTTACTGAGTCTCTTCCTCCCTTCGTCCTGCGCTGCATCGCCCCCCCCCCCTCCCCACTCGTCCACTCGTCTACAGCCTGCGCGCTGCTCCTTCTCGGCGGCGTCAATTTGTCACTCAGCTGATTCGCAAAACGAAACGCAATGAATTACGCGGCAGAACTCACGCGGATTAAATTTTCAAGAAAATTGTAATCTCAAATTATAATTGCAGTTGTTAATTTACGATAGCACATTTTTTACTTGACAATGCATTTTAAGTCAATACGTACTGCATGTATTGTTACGATTACAAACTGTTGTAATTTTACAACTTACGTCAAGGAAAATTTTTCTGTGAACCTTACTTTTTTTCACAGCGTATCCTCGAGGAAAGGCAAAACCCTGGTTTCGATATTGCCCCCAAAGCGATGCCCAGTCTCTTGCATTTGGTGTGCAACTTGGTGTTAACTTTCTACATTTGTTTTCTCAGTGAACCTCCCACCCTTGCCCACTGCCCTTTCGCGACTAAGACGATGCACGTTCGGCACCGGTTTGGTTTTAATAAGTGCACTATTGACGTCCACCCCTGGCGCTTAACCAACCCTGCACCTCTGGCACAACGAGTGCCTCGAAGAGCCCTTGCTGTGGCCCCACAAATTTGCTTCTATTCCCCCTTTTAACTGTTTTAAAAATGCTCCCTGTAAGCTGAAATGACCCGCCTGAAAGGTAGGCAATAGACAGAACAGTGCTGAGCACGTGCCAGTCTTGACTTGTAAGAACGGATGGGCGCGCGCTTCCTCCCTTACGGATAGGCCATGCTGGTGGCTGCTGGCTGGAGCTTGCTTGGCGCGGGGACGAAGGATGGGGATGGAAGGGAGAAGAGGAGGAAGTGTGAGAAGAAGGACGCGCCGATCGCAGTGGCGACTCCAGCGGAGGTGGTGGGGGGCGTGCGCAGGGCCAGCGGGAGGAGCGGGCGCGGTGTGGGGGGGCCGGTATTCAGTCACCGTATCTGGTCCGTATTCCTGCGGCCCGGCCCGGCGCCCCCCGCCCGCGGTTACCTAACGAGTCAAGGGCGCCTCCAAATGCAGCCTCCTCCTCCTCCTCCTCCTCCTGCTGCCGGCTGGACGCTACCTAGACCTTCTTGCGCGGACGCGTGCCAACAACCCCGCGCCCTATGCGTCCGATAGCGTGGCGTGGCGAAGCGTGGCGTGGCGTGGCGTGGCGAAGCGTGGCGTGGCGTGGCGTGGCGGGGCCGATACACCACTACTGTATACGGCGGAGAGATAAAACCCGGCCAGCCCAGGGTGCGAGCGACACAGTCTGCAACATTGTTGTTATAGAGCAGCAGGGCTAATCTCTCTTGTTTGATTGACCGGCTGCCGGCCGCTCGCTGGCCTGGCCTGTCCGGCTGCGCCAACAAGCAGGGGGCCGCGCCCAGCCCCAGCCCTCGCGCCGCCGTGTGAAACGTACTTTACTGAAACGAGGCGCGCTGACAGCCCCATAGCCGCGCGCACTCCGCCCTTCTCTCCTGCCCCTCTGCTGCTGCTGGCGCCATAACAAACGAATAAGGTGCGCGCGCGTAATGTAAAACGTTCTCCCCGAGGAAAACGATGAAGCGGCGCTGATAGTGCAGCGAAACGGTGTGACCCGGTATAATGAGATGACTCATACAATTTGCATACAAAAAAAATATAAATAAATGAATGGGGAGAAATGTAAGCAGTGAGATAATACCCCCATTAAATAATTTGACGAGCAGCAAAATGTGATCCCGATATGCTTGAAGTACATGCCATTTACTGACCCATCGGACTTCAACTGTAAGACTCAATTTGTTTTGAAGATTATCAGCCCAGTCAAAGCCCTGCCCGGCAAAATGGTGTCTCAATCATCGCGCAATGATGGATCTTTTAGCGGCAATATGGTGCAACCGGCGCTGCCGCCGGTGCTCCTCGCTTGCAGCCGCCTGCAGCCGCTTGGCGCCGCTCCGGCCGGGGCGGGGCGGGTCTTTTTGTTCCACTCAAGTAGAGCGACCCATTGAACGGTCTATCCATCTATCTATCGTTACGCAATACACTCGCACGCGCCCGGTCCAGCAGCGCGTACGGCCGCAGCGGTTACATCAATCCGCGAGACTATCGACACGCTGGCCGAGTCAGCGGCGGGCCACATACTACTTCTACTCCAACTCGGAGGAAGAAACGAAATAAAAAAAACAAACTTGGCGAACGTGTCGCGAAGCGACTGTTGCTGCTGTTGTTGTTTGTTGCTGGTGTTGGGAGCGAACAGGTCTTCTACCCATAAACACACACACACGGCAGAGTAAATACCAACACGATGCCGGAAAGAACTGCTTTGCAAAATTTGAGTTGGTGCCTTCTTTCCTGCTGATAGTGTACCGGATTCATGAGTGTCAAGAGGCCTTGATAATGTACAGTTGCGCTCAACGCAAACAATACAAAAAAAAAAGGCACTCGAAAAAAAAGATAAACTAGCAAAGAAGTCAAGGGAAAAGAATAACTAGATTTCCTTTTGATTGAAAGACGCGCAAAAGTTTAGCTCACAGATTTGTCAAAAACAAAGAAAATTAAAAATGTCTCTCTCAGATTATGGGTGTTGCGTCCCCGTCTCCCCCGTCTTATTTCCGAGTCAAATGACTGCGGAAAGGGTTATTCTCGCGGAAAGAGGTTAGGTCAGTGCGACATGTTTTATGCAAAGGGGGACCCCGCGCGAGCAGCCCGAATGCAGGGCAATCACATGCAAAGCGGCGACCAGATGAGAGGTCAGCCGCGGTCAGCTGTTAACAACCGTGGCGCCCCCCGCTGACATGGGACAGGTGTCGTCGTATGCAATGGCAAAACTTGCACAAAACGAACTCTGGACCAAACGCAAAACGACACGGAATTTCGATGCGAAAAGGAGAAGGGCAAGAGGACACTTCCTTTCCTTTCACCGCGCGGCGGGTTGTGGTGTGCATCCCGGCCATGCCACCCGCAGAGAGGCACGGCGGCGGCGCCGCAAGGTGGCCGCCAAACACTATGAAGCGTTGCGCTCCGTCGCGGAGGTCAGGTCGGGCGAGAGACCCAAAACAGACGTGACTCACCCGTCACTGACGAAAGAACGTATAATGGGTCATAAAAGGGAATCGCAGGCGCGCGCGCGCGCTCTGCCCTTGCGTCCTTCCCTTCCGATAAGATAGACGGCACGCGCCTGGGGACGAGAGACAGACAGACGGGAAGACAAACAGAGAGACAGAGGGGGAGGGGGAGAGAGAGAGAGAGAGAGAGAGAGAGAGAGAGAGAGAGAGAGAGAGAGACGG